ACCTTAGAGAACATGTCAGGGAGAGTCCTGCTCTTTTGAAGTGGGAGTCAGGGTGGGCCTGTAACTGGGGGTTTTTGCCCCCACCTGTTGGCTTTACAGGAAGTCTTTCTTCCCCATTTTTCACCTTTCTCTTCAGGATAGCCTTCTCTACTCAAGGGCTTAGCCCTGGTTTTGTTTTCTGTATGAGGGATTGTACCCAGAGGCTGTTAACCACTGGGCCACATCCCCAGCCCTTTTTTGTATTTTATTTAGAGACAAGGTGTCACTAAAATTGCTTAGGGCCTTGCTAAATTGCTGAGGATGGTTTGTAACTTGTGATCCTCTTGCCTTTGAGCCTCACCAGTTGGCCAGTTGCAGAGATTACAGGTGTGCACCATAAAGCCCAACTAGTCCTGTTTCTGAAGGGTATTTGCATTCCGACAGAGAACTCAACATCAAAATGGTTTTATTCAAAACTTCAGGAAATGGAGTTCTGATCCCTCCAGTCTTCTAGGTCCTCAAGCAGCCTGAACTTTTATCCTGCACTGATTTCTAGGATGCATGATTCAGACCCCATAGCCTGGAACCTGGGAACCTACTCTAGGTAAGGTCCTGAGAAAAAAGTCGTATTCCTACCCATTAAAAAAAAAAAAAAAAAGGTGTATCTCCTAAAAGTTACTGGCCAGGCAGTAGCTCCCCAGAAAGGTACAGCTGGAGCCATGAGCACCATCTCTGTTGCTAGGAGAGCTGGTTTTGGCCAGGGCACGGGGGCTGCAGGGCTGTACAGTCTCCCAAGCGTCTCTTTAGCACTGACCTCATCAGTGTGTGAAGGAGACATGTACAGATGGCCTCTTCTGCCTCAGGGGAGACTTTAGTGCTACTGGGAAGAGACCCTGATTCAAAGAACCCTGGTATTCCCAGATGCTCAGATCCCTTTCAGGAAGGAAAGAAGATTTATACCTGCCACCAGAGATCAGGATGATACACCTCAGAAAGGAGTAAGTACCTTCTGGAAAGAGCATGGGACAGAGTCAGAACCCAGTGTTTCTGACCCCAGCCTTACTACACCCTTGCCAGGAAGCCCTTATTAAACTATGGGAGGCTCATCAACTCAAGCTCAAGCCAAGCATGACTGTCCATTGAGGCCTTCTGCAGATGCCCTGAGAAAAGCCCTCGTCCAGCTGCAGAGCCTCCTCTGGAATGGCTACAGGACTTCCTGCCCCTTCCTGGCTCCTCCTCTCAGACCCAGGCCTAGCCCCTGCTCAGTAAAGCATGAAGGAGGCCCCCCAGGGAAGCCACAGGCGCAGGGGCCTTTAAATTATGGAGCAGCTTTCTTAGCCCCTCTCAGAAAGGCCCAGGCGCCCCAGCTAAATAATTCACCACCTTGGGAAGACCCAGTGGTTCCTGACATAGCTGAAGTAGGTCAGGCACCGGCTGGGCCCTGTAAGGCTAGCAGCAGCTCTCCCACCAGCACTGGGACAGGTTGCAGGCTGGAATGACCTTGTTTGCTTGACAAGTGAGGTAAGGGGTCTGAGGCAAGAAAGGCACCAATGCCCCTCTTCCCAGAGCCTCCCTCTGGGATCCAGATAACCACCCACCTGCCACCCAGTAACCCACAGGGCCTGTGCCTGCCCTGGCTCTTCCCCCTCCCTCAGAGCACCTGAATGAACCTGTCACCTCTGAGTTTTTAACAGCTGGCACATGCACCAACAGGGAACACCTGAGACTCAAGCCACCTAGTGCAGAACCTGGAATGACACCAGGGTCACACCAGGTGCAGGAGAGGAAGTGACCAGGGTAGCATACCATCCCCTCTAGCTTTTGCTCAGAGGAAGGCTGGAATGAACCCCAGAGGAGGAAGGCTCTGGGGGCCTACCCTGACCTCTAATTCTAGGTACAGATTCAGGTATGGGGTGAAGGTAGGGTGCAGGGGTAGCTCTCCTGGGTGGATGTGGATGGAACTTGTGATCCTCCTGCCTCAGCCTCGCCAGTTGGCCAGTTAGAAGTACTGGGTCATCCCTCTAGTAGTAGCTAGAAAGTATTTCCAACTACCAATTCACAGATGAGAAAACCGAGAACCCAAATCACAGAAGGGCTAGGTGGCTACAGCATCCTGACCCTGATCCAGGCCAACTCAGTTGGCTCTTTAGCACCGCACAACACTGGGGACCTTCACACCCATCTGTTCCCCTCCTAGCAATCAGAATTGCAGTCCACAGCCTACACGGTGGCTTAGTTTAACCTTTTCTGACAAGGCTCCTGGGCCTTCTCCTTCCCTCCAGCACAGCACAAGATGTACACAAAGGTGGGACACCTCATGGGGCAGCCTGATGCCCACACCTCAGTCCTTTTCTACTGGAGGGCTTGAAAGACCGCAAGCCATGAAGGGTGAAGCCAAACAGACACAGGGATGCTGAGAAAACAAAGGTCCCTTCTCAGATCCTGACCAAATATCAGGGTGTCTATTCTGGGTGCAGGGAAGCCTGTCCCTACCCTCAGAACCAAGAATAAGGAACTGAATTCATTAAAAACAAGGTGGGCTGTCAGACACAGCTCCCAGCTGTGTAGCCCCTGGCAAGCTGCTTCCCCTCCAGGACTTTGTTTCATGAGTTCTCCAAGGGGAGGGGGAGAAAGGCAACAGGAGCTCCACTGCCCTCCCACCATGACAGTCACTAGGCCAGAGCTCCAGGCAGGCGCACTCCGCTCCTTCCCCTTAACTCAGCACCTCTCTGGTCACACCCTCACCCTGCAGTCTCATGGAAGGTGGAAGAAAAGGCCAGAGAGCAGTCATTTTGGATTTTTTTATTTTACATTTCATATATTATCCAGTTTCACATTCTCACAGGATCAACAATTACAACAGCCACCTAGTCTCCCACATCTGAAATGGCAAGACAGTCACAGCTGTGACTAAAGGTAAAGCATTGATATGCTCACAAAACAAAATAAAATTGCACAATTTTTTTCTTTATTTTTCTTAAACCAACGCCTGACACAAAGGCTCGCTGTTGAAGAATGGAAACCCGTTTCTTCTTCATGCCTCAAACTAAACATTAAACTTATCTGACAAGGCGAACAAGGTCTCTTTAATAATTAATGGTACACACATGAAAATCCTTTATGATGCATAAATATTTTGTTACACAGGGTACAAAAATACTTCTCACGTTTTGGTTGACTTTAAGGTTTGGAAAGAACAAGGAGCAGTGGTGGGGGCAGGGTGCCATGTGGAAAGGTCAGCAAGATGGGCAGAGGAGAGGGCTTTCTTATAATTATTGGCCCATCTGAGAAGGAAGCAGAGGACTGATTCGAAATGACAAGGCAAATGTCGTGTGGTGGTTCTGAGCCTGGAGGTGTGTGTGGTGCACGGGTCCTTGGGGGAGAAGTGGCCACAGGGCTCAGGCCTCTCTGAAGCACAGTGGGTGTAGGGGCGGGGTGTGGAGAGAGGGACCAGGCACCATAAGCTAGGACCTGTTGCTATGGAGACAGTGTGAGAACAAACTGTACACTCACATATACACAAGTATAAGTGTCTTAATTCATGCCAGAAAACATGCAAAATTAAATGCCTCATTTTCTTGAGGGGAAGCTTAAAAAGCATGTTTGAGTGGGAGGTCAGGTCAGGTCTTGCTGGGTCACAGTGAGGCCTCCTAGCTGGGTCTGGGTGTCCCAGCAAGAAGGCCCTCAAATCCTCCAGGGAGGCCTTGGAGAAGGGTTTGGGGTAGAACAAGCCTGAGGAAGAGGGAAAGGAACAGGAAGCAGTTCACTGAGTCAGGCTTAAGATTCACAGTCTCCGGAGAAGCAGCAGCTCTGCACAGGCCGCTCGCAGGGGGCGGTGGAAGCTCAGGGCCCTATTCTGGCCCCACCACATAAGTCCCAGAACCAACTTCCTGGCAACCAGACCTGGAGGGGAGAGGGGTGGCCATAAGAAGAGGTAAGGGAGTAGAGCTGGCCCAGGCCTCCCTTTGCGGAGGCCGCACACGGAGATGGCAGGCTCACAGGGGTGGGAGAAGGGAAAACCAGCCACATGCCCCAGTGATCAGGCTCCAAGTACCACCTCGAAGTAGCAAGCTCTGGAGACTTGGGCAGAGAGAGGACCACAGCCCTGCAGGAAGCCAGAGTCTACATTTTCTGTCCCAGGCTTCTGGGGCCAACACTTACTGAAGAATCAACAGAACTGGCGATACTTCCATCCTTGCTGGGTGCCGTCAGAGGAGGGATACCAGCGCACCTGCAAGAGAACCCATCATCAGGAGCCCACCGTGCAGTCCTTTCCCTCAGCAGGGAACTTGATGAGCTCAGCCTTCGGTGTCCCTGCTGCAGTCCTAGTTGTGCCACTGACTGGCTGGCAAAGGCTGGGCCAGTTACTTACCTTAAATATGAGTTTCTTCATCCAGAAACGGGAAGACTGCCTGCCCCACCTCCTTTGCAGAATTGAGGCTCCTTGAGAGCAGATCATGCAGATGCCTTTAGACTTCACTAAGCCTGAGCCATGTGCCAGGTTAGGCCTGCCAGAGGGACATCTCGGCAGTCAGCAATCTGCCCCCCCTGCTTACTAGGAGAGCAAGACATTCCTAACATTAGTAGAAAAACAAACCTAGTAAATTTCTGTTGTGTTTCTTTGGGTCTCAGTATCCTCATCCAGTCATAGAACAGAAATGGATATGACAATCAGGTAAGACAGGACATAGGTACATTATAAAACCAGGATCATTCCAGGTGCGGTGGCCTGTAATCCCAGAGGCTCGGGAGGCTGAGGCAGGAGGATTGTGAGTTCCAAGCCAGCCTCAGCAACAGCGAGGCACTAAGCAACTCAGTGAGACCTTACCTCTAAATAAAATACAAAACAGGGCTGGGGATGTGGCTCAATGGTCGAGTGCCCCTGAGTTCACTCCCTAGTACCCACCCACCCCCCCAAAAAAAACAGGGTCACACCAGGAGTGGTGCACTCCTGCAATCCCAGAGACTGGTGAGGCTGAGGCAGAAGGATCACAAGTTCGGGTCAAGGCTAGCATCAGCAACTCAGTAAGACCCTGACTAAAAATAAAAAATAAAAAGGTCTGGGGATGAAGCTCAGTGGGAAAGCCCCTCTGAGTTCAATCTCTAGTACTCAAAACAAAACAAGACAAACAAAACAGGGTCATCTAAGAGATAAAACTCCTGTCCTTATACAATTCTTCAAAGCATCTACAGGGATGGCAGCCTCAAAGTATCCTACCAGTGCCCAGCAGCCACCTAAACTCTAGCACTTGCCAGAAGGCCCCACAGAGCAATGGTTCCAAAGCTGGATTCCCAGAGTCTGATCAAGAAAATTACATGCAAGGCTAGGCACTTGCCTTGTTGAGTGTGTTCGATCTCTAGCACCACTGAGAGAGAGAGAGAGAACCCTGTCCCCATGGGCCAGTCATCTGGAAGGAGGGCTACACTGTCTGCGAGGCCAAGGCTGCAGGGAAGGCACCTGCCTGTTACACATGGCAGAGCATGTCTGCTCTAGCCTGCCATGGCTGTCTGGGAGAGGGAAGGGGCACCACACGAATGTCGTATAGGGATCAGAACTCAGAAGGGGAGCCCAGGGTCCCCTTAAAAAAGGAAGGAATGACACACGAAAGTAAGGGACCACAGAGAATGAGATTGAAGCCAAGTACATAGTCAGACACCCTGAAGCAGAGCAGGTGGTACCAGTTACCCACTTAGCAGCCACAATTCCTGCCTCTTGGGTAGACAGAGTATGTCCAAGGATGCCAGGCCCTCTGGGGGCGGAGGGGAGGTTTCCTAAGAATTTGCTCTGTGCAAATTCTTTTTTTTTTTTTTTTAAGAGAGAAAGAATTTTTTAATATTTAGTTTTTAGTTTTCGGCGGACACAACATCTTTGTTTGTATGTGGTGCTGAGGATCCAACCAGGGCTGCACACATGCCAGGCAAGCACGCTACCGCTTGAGCCACATCCCCAGCCCCTGTGCAAATTCTTGATGTTATTTTGTGCAATGCAGATTTCTGGCCACACACCCACCCTGGACTGCTGTAGGAAGTGAGTGTCTGGCCACCCAATCAACACTAGGATTCCCCTGGGCTCTAAAGGATGTGGCACTGCTGTCACCAGAATACAATGGCCCTGGGTCACAGGAACTACCTTAATAGAGCCTGTAGCCCACAGAAAAGGCCTCTCCTTGCCTTGGAGCTGCCTGTCCCACCTCAGAAGCCATGGTATTTCCTATCCTGCCTCCTAAGTGTTGGGAAGCAGATCCTTCCCTTCTAGGCTGACAGCTGTGTGGAAAGCTTCTCTTGCCCCCAACAGCATGTCCCTTCCTAGATGTGGCCCAGGGGATGTTCTCTCAGCTGGCCATGTGGCTGGACACTACAAATCATTCCACATAAGAATGACACATGAGAAACTGGCAGTGGTGCCACCAGAGAAGCCTTGGCTCAGTCCAGCTCAGGAAACCCATCAGTGTGGCCCTGCCCAGATCCCTTACCCATCTGGGTGCCCTGCAGGGCCAAATGAGGGGAGAGTGAGGGATGAGACTAGAAGGGACTAGGAAGCCTCTAGCTTACCTTTTTTTACATTGGAGAATCTGAGCAGCTGCTAGATCCTGTCTTATACTTCCTCCACAAGGTACTGTGACCCCTGCATCTCAAGCAGCAACTTTCCCTCCAACTTGGGTGAGTCAGGTGACTAATTGGAGGAAAAGAAGAAAGCTCCCATTGTGGGCTCAGGACAGACGTGTCACTGAAGTGGATGGAATGCACTTAGAGGGGCTGCTTCCCTTGGGGGCCTGGTTTAGGCCAGTGGCTCTCCAGAAGCAGCATGACCCTTCCTAGATTTCTTCCTTCTGCCTGAGACCCTCAGGCCTGGGGGCAGGACCAATATTAGGGACCCAACTAGAGTCAAGGCCTCTAGCTATCCCAATGTGCTCCTGAGAGACCATCCCACAGGGCACAATGATGAGGCTATGGATGAGCCTATGGGGGGCTGCTTCCAATAAGGAGGGAAGGACATGGCCTCAGCTCGCTCTCAGATCTTAGGACTGACTAATGGAGAAGATGACACCAAGAAGAGGGTAAAGGAATTAGAAATATGAATAGTCAAGAAAAATGGGAACCTCTCTCATCTGAAGGTCAATTAAACAATACTTGACCCAGGTGACAGCCTACACTTGGACCCTGCAATAGGTCTGTGACAGGTGCCTAGACATGTGAGCAAAGCAAGGGCACTACAGTAGAAAACAAGTATGCAAAAAACTAACTTACTGTCCACCAGGCACCAGGTCCATTTCCACACCGCCGTGCCAGCTAGGCATCCGAAATGCAAGTCTATACTTACTTACTAGGAAAACTGTCTTAAGATTCAAACTCAGAAAAGATTAACTATGTATTGTAATTTTCATAAAAGATTCACATCTGTGAATTTACTTACACACCTATTCCCAAATCTAAGGACTAACAAACACGTTTGGTCCTAACAGACTCTTTTACTGCTGAGGAATGAATGGCTGGCTAATGACCACCTGGTTAACCTCTGGATATGAGTCTTCTTCTTCCCGAAAACTGCCACTATCCTTAGATATGGCAGATTATGGGAGGAAACTGGAAAAAAGAAAAATGGCAGGCATGCAACCCTGTGGCATGGAGCTCAGTGACAGGTAGCAGCATGCCACTCCAAGCCTCCCCTGATTCATTTGAACCCCCTTCCTGCCTGTCTGTCATGACCTAGCATCTCAGGACAGAGCAGAACCTCTCCACCTGATCCAGTCCAACCCTCTCATTTTACAGATGAAGACACAGGACCAGAGGTGAGGAGCCCAACAAGGCCAGTTCTGTGTCCCATCAGTGCCTCCTGGGGCCCCTACAGTTAAAACAGCTCAGCTCACTGGAGCACTACAGGTCTGCCCTGGGCAGACACACAGGATGGGCTTTCTTGCTCCCCACTCTATCCCTGCCACAGAAACTAGTTTGTGGCACACACTCAAACCTTCAAAGATCTTCCTCCAGGGAAAGACCTTTGCCCTCTTTCTATGCTTTAATCAATTTTTTAACGCTGTCTCTGGTAATCAGCTGGGAACAGTGGTGAGTCTATAACCACAATTCTTCTGCCCTTGGTACAATCAAAAGATGCTGTAGCCAAGGAATTCCCTGCCAGGGTAAAGTTGGCTCAGGTAGTGGTCCATGAATCTGAACTTTCTACCTTGGAACTGGTGAACCTCAATGTCATTAAGCCCCTCAAAGGGCCTAAAGAAGGATATGCATTCAGCTTTTAGCAAAGCACCTAGCTCCCCCCACCAGCATCTTCTGCTTCCAGTGAACTCTCCCTTTCTGGCTTCTCACGTCCTTTCGCCTTGTCCCCTTCCCTACTTCCCAGGTCCAAGCCACCTCCCTTTATATACTCCCTCAACAGCACAGCACACCCCACCGCCACCCTGCTGGGGCCAGCTTGCTCCTCTGAGGCTCAGCTGTTGGTCATCTGGCCGATCAGAGGCTGATCAAGACTGCTCCTTGGCCTTCCTCCTATGACTGTCTGGCAGCATCCTGTCCACACACCTGGTAGCTTCCTGTCATTGCCACTGTGCAGACCACTCTCCATACACACACACAGTGTGGTGAGACATCACTGGTAGTATATCCCAAGGCCTATACTTATGGCAAAGTCAGACCAGAGTACAAGAGATATGAAAAATTGTGTTCTAAATATGTAATAAGAATTGTGATGCATTCTGCTGTCATGTATTTAAAAAATAAAAGCAATTTAATAAAAAGTCAGACCACAGTAAACCTGGGTGGCCAGAGGCTGGGATCTGACATAGCATTTGACACAGAGCCCCCTGGGCCCAGTCCTCACCCTCTCCAACTCCCCCCAAGACATGTCTGCTCCCACTTTCCTGCTCTAAGACCAGAAATAGCCAGGTTTCATAAAAACAGGAGCAAACACTCAAGACCTCTTAGGACAACCAGGCACAGTTCTAGAACTTCATTGGTTAACATCAACCTGTCACAACAACCAAGGCAAAGTCTATTATTCTCATTTTCCAGGTGACTAAAAATTGAGGCAGAGAAATCTTTAAAAGTTTGATGAAGTTCATAAAGACAGGCAGAGGCACGTCTGGTTCCAGAGATCATGCTTGGACTGGGAATGGAATTGTGATCCTGTCACCACAGGGGAGCAGAGAGGCGATGCCACAGCCAGTCTTCTCAGCATTCCTGGCACTCTGCCTTACAGCCTCTACAGGAGCTCACCACTCAGTCTCCCTCCCCTCAGTCAGATCCCAATCCTTATAGATCCCTGAAGCCTATCCTTTCAGATCATCCTGAAGGACAACAGTTCCCCTGGAGCTCTAGGGATAGGAGTGACCCCATGGCCAGGAAGGTACAAAGTCTAAGTTGGAAGAGCCAACTCAGAGCCCTTCTACTCCTCCACCCAGAGAGGCTTACCTGAGCATGGAGGGCAGCAGCAGCAGCAGCAGTGGCAGCTGGGTAGGTGAACGCAGCATGTGAGATGGCTGGGGTCAGCTCTGTGGTGTACAGAGGATAAGGGGCCCAGGCCTCTGGGGACGCAGGGATCAGAGCAGCCCCCATCAGGTCATCTATAACAGGAGACAACAGCCTCCATTGTCAGAACACTGGTCTTTCTTCCTACCACCCCCTTCCAAACAGAGAAGGGGACCCAGCACTATGATTGAGCCATAACCCCCTCCCCCAGCCTCTACTGGAGACCAAGACCAGGCAAAGAAGCCACATGAATTTGGCCTGGCATGATGGGCACCCTGATTGCATCAATAAGTTCTCAAACAGGCCTCAATCCATCTCAAATAAGAAAAATCAGAAGTGGCTTCAAGAACTGGCTTCAAGAAGCTGAAAACCCCAACAGCTCAGGCACAGTCCCTCTGAGAGTCAACCAAGGCCACAGGGAAGGAAGTCTCAAAGGTAGCTCTGGATGCAAGAAGCCCCCTGAAGAGGGGAAGACAGACAGGACTGATTCCCTCAACAAGAATCTGAGCGTTTGCTCTGCATGCAACTCCAGTAGAGCCTGCCAGCTCTGACCAGGCAAAGGGGCAAAAGAAGGCAGCTCAGAGTACCACTCACAGGGATCCCGGGCAATGAAATGTGCTCCTAGGGCAGGGTGAACACTGGTGGGATTTGGTGTTGCCATTAACTTGCTCTTGGCCATCTTGGTGTTGGCTTTGGCAAACTCTAGCCTCAGGGTTTGTGGGTTCTCAGGATCAAAGCGAATACCCTACACAGGAAGGAAAGGAAGAGAAAGACTTACTCTGTAGGATCCACACTGTCAACCGCAGTGGATATAGAGGGCCCCGGAACCAAGCTCGCCTACAAGACTCATGCACATGGGGCCATGGTAGAAGAATGTGGCTTAGACCTGTGAGTAATGATATTTATCACAAACAGGGAACCAAGGACTCTGCCCTGAGATGAGTGGGAAATGAAGTTCACCTATGGACTTTTTTCTTGGGCGTGAAATGGGGGAAGATTTGCAAAAGACAGAACAGGGGCACTCACTGCCTACCAGAGAAGGCCTACTTTCCACCTACTCACGTTCAATGCATTCTTGGCGGCTTCTGCTCCTGCCCGGCTGTCAAAGATGACAAAACCAACAGGCTAGTAGGAAAAAAGAGAAAACATCCTCACATCTCTCCCAGTATGCCATTTGCCCCATCTAAAACAACCAAACAAAGATTACTGAGCTGGGGGTGGAACTCAGTAGTAGAGCTCTATAGTATATACTAGGACCTTGGGTTCAATCCTCAGCACCACAAACTAAAAAAGGATCATCACCGAACTAGAGACAGTATTTATTCTGCTGATAAGAGAACAGAGAAGAAAAAAACTCCTTGCCCACACCTCCACTAAGGTACAGCTGGAAGATCCACATGCACCCAAAGTGGAGTCTCCCTCCATTGTACCACACCATAGGAAATAATGCCAACCAAGCTTTATTTCACTGCATTAAAAAAACCACCCTTTTGGAGGCTGGGGTTTTGGCTCAGTGGTAGCGTGCTCGCCTAGTATGCATGAGGCACTGGGTTTGATCTTCAGCACCACATAAAAATAAAGATATTAAAGTCCACCAACAACTTAAAATCACTCTTTTGTAAAAGCCTGTTTAAATGCATAAAGATAGTAGGTCAGAGCTCAGCTACCTTCTCTACTATCCTCAGCCATGGGCCCAGACAGTGGTTCCCAAATCCCCAGAGTCAATCACAGAAGGCCAGGAGCTTACTGGACCCCAACAGCTGGTGAAGTGGGGAGGGACCTGTGGAGGCCATCCTTTTGTCAGCTGAAGACAGATATGGATGGCAGAGTGCGTTTCACTGTCATGTTAGGAGAAAGGAACCACACCTCAGTTATAAACTCAGCAGTCAGTATGGGCTGGGAGGAAAAAAAACCTGGGGGTGGGGGAAATTACCTGTCTCGAGGTGAGCTTGATCAGGGACCCTTCATATCCCTGTAGAGAGAGGTGGCCATTACTGGGGAAGGTAAGAAGCCTCTATTATGCTAACCCAGCACTGCCCCCTCAGCCCCACCTTTCCCCAGTGACCCCTGAATCATTCTCACCCTTCTCCCCCCACAAAGCCAACCCACTCTAACCTCCACCACTGTGGAGTTCCAACCGCCCTTGTGTTCTGAATCACATGGTCTAGCACATGGGGTGGCATCATGCGGTGGCATTCATCACTTCATGCGTAAACTGTTGTGCGCTCCACTAACTTGTAATTCGAAAGCACAGATCTTACCTTTTAAGCTCTCTCATCTGCAAATGGAAAAGCCTACACCAAATCTTAAGATTCCTTATATAGCAAAACTACTAAGATCCTTTATATCTCCATTTTACAGATGAGGAAACAGAGGCTCCAAAGAGCTAACCAAGTGAAAGAAGTACACTAGCAGAACCAGACAGAACCAGGTCTGTGACCACAGCTGCTGATCCAACTGTCGCACACAACTCAATTTAGAGATTCATTCCTGTTACTTCTCCCTGGTCCAGGGCTCTATCTTGGGGGTGGCTGGGTCCTGACTCACCTTGAACGGCCGGAAGAGCAGGTAGAGTTCTCTGGGTTTAATGTCCATGGGGAGGCCACTGACAAACAATGTCCGAACCTAAGGACAGAGACCACAGTGGTCAGGGCCAGATTGGACAGGAAGGACAGGAATGGGGGCTGTTTTTTCAGGTAGGAAACTAGAGTCCTTCTAGAGCTTAAGGAAGAATTCAGTATTTCCTGGGCCTCCTTTGGACACAGAGGCATATTTACATTTAGTCTCACAGCTTTAAAATTTTCAAAGCCCTTTCTATGCACCTTTCTTCTTTAGATTTATCCTGTAGGTGTCATTCAGCAAGCACTTGATGAACACCTCTGCGCACAGACTGTGGCCAAAAGAGGCAAGGAGAACGTGCTCTGTTGACAAAGCGTACACGCTCTTTGCAGATAAAGGTCCCACTCCTCTAAGAATCTGAAGAAAGCTATATTGCCTCATCCCCCAAAAAAGCACACAGAAAAAAATACATATATATTTTTCCTAAAGATACCGTGGTTGAGAGATTCTGTTTGGTCTGAGGAGAGGCAAAGAGGTACATGGAACTAAGTCCTATGCCACACTATGCCCTGGAGCTGCTGTGCAGAGTGGACCTAATCAGTCCTCTCCTCCTTCCTGTCCTCACCAGGAGGGTGCATTAGGGTGGGTCAAGGACCCAGAGCCAGGGCTGGGGATGTGGCTCAAGCGGTAGCGTGCTCGCCTGGCATGCGTGCGGCCCGGGTTTGATCCTCAGCACCACATACAAATAAAGATGTTGTGTCTGCCGAAAACTAAACAAAAACAAAAAAAGGACCCAGAGCCAGAGCAGCCCCACAGAAGCCTCTGCCTCAGTTCTCCCCAGAGGCCACCTATTTTGCTCAGACTAATTTTAAACCCTCCCTCAAATGGTTCCTTTCTGGCCAGACCTCCCCAGAGGCCCCTTAAATAGCAAGTTCTCAGCACAAAGTTTCCTGCTTAGGGTCAGGGAGCGGGTGTGTAACAGGGACTCTTTTCCTTATTTCCAGCTCAGAGTCTTGTTTCTAGTCTTCCCTCAGGGTCACCAGGCCCTTTCCCACTGGTTTCCATCTTTTAGGTTGTAAAATACTCCCAAAGGCTACACTCTAGCCCCTAATCTGTCCTTGCCATCTCTCAGGAAAAGAGGCACCTATGGATTAGGTGATGTGTCCCTATTTGCCAGGTCACAGACCCTTTGCAATCTGACTTGAATATACTCCTTGGTTCTTTCTAATTCTAGCAATCCCAGCCAATGACACTGCCCTCCTATCTCCCTTGTCCAGACAGTGAAACAGGGCCCAGCAAAGCTCAGTAACTTGTCCAGGGCATGCAGCTTGGTTCACCAAGGAGCAGAGGTAGGCGAGACCCAGGTTGTAAAAGACCCTGACTGCTGTCTGACACCACCCACCTGGGCAACCTAATTCAGCCCCACAGCTGAATAAAGAATTGTCACACATGTATTCAGTAGCCAGTCCCTTCTCCTGGCACTTGTTTCAGATGACTGTAAGGCTAGAGTGATGAAGGTAGAAAAAGTCAGAAACTGGCAAACCAGCGATGGGGTAAGCATGAGCTCAACAATCTCAGCCACACGTGGACAGGACAAGTCTCTACTGCACACCCACCTTCCTGCTTCCGACCCCATCTGACCCCAAACCCTTCCCAAGGACCCTGACAAACATCTGCAGTGTTCCATCTCATGGCAGTTGCTTGTGCTGTTGTCCTCTGGCCCATCCTTTCCTCACTCTTTAGCTAAAGAGCACTAATGCTTCAGGTCCTGATTTCCTGGCTCCCCTTTCCATCCCGAGTCCTGCAGCGGTCCTTGGCACCCTTGCCTTATGTTACCCCCAGCCTAAGCGGACCCTCTCATTCTGATTGCATCAAGTCTGAGAGACAGGAGCTAAGTAAGACACAAGACTTTTCAATCTTCCAAAGTGCCTCGAGTCAGGCCTTGACGTTTGAGACCTCCCTCCCCATCTCTACACACTAAGTCCTTCCAAAGAAAAAATGGCCAGAGACCAGATGTGGCTGAGGACTACAGAATGGCACTGTAAATGAGAAAGAACAGGCTTTCCTTAGACCAGAGTCTGCATCTCAGCTTTATGCTTGGTCTGGAGAAGTTTCTTATCTTTCTGAATATATTCTTTATCTGTCACCACCACCACCACCATCCATCTCCAAGAGAAAGCTCACCTTACTCCATGCCTGGTACACATGCAGGGATCAACCAAATGCTGTTTCACTTAGGGCTCCTGTCATCACTGCCCTATAGGCCCTCACCTATCGGGTATCATTTTTTTCCATGGTTGTCTAGTAAGGCTGGATCAGGCCCAGGTCAGTCTATAGTTGGGAATGTGGGTACGACAACCTTAGGTGGTCGCTGGATTCTTATTTTTCCTCTTCCCTGGGGGGTAGAGAGCAATGTTTGAGGTCAAAGGTATCATAGAGAGTATTCAGTTTAACCCCATCATTTTACAAATGAGGGGAAACTGAGGCTAGGGACAGTGACAGCATAAATGATGGCACAGTCAGGATCCTTTGAGACATGCAGTCACGTCTTCAAGGCCTGACCAAGTAGTCTTCATGTCTCAAGTCACTACTGGAGCCCACTCCTCCCATGGCACTTTCTGGTGCCAGCCTCAGGACCTGGATTCAGGAGGGAAGCTGCATGCAGACTGGAATCAGACCTCTATAGCTACTGATGCCATGATGGAAAGATCAACCAACAAACCCAAAGAACTCAGGTGTCCTGCTGATTCCACAGGATGATGACAATAATTCAACACACGGCTGGGGGTTAAGTCAGTGGTAGAGCACTGGCCTACCACACATGAGGCCCTGGTTTAGATCCTCACTGTCACCAAAACAAACAAACAAACAAACTTGTTTCTTGGGCCCTTCTCCTTGCACAGACTAGCTCCTTCTTCTTCTTTTTTTTTTTTGAGAGAGAGAAAGAGAGAGAATTTTTTAATATTTATTTTTAGGTTTTGGCGGACACAACATCTTTGTATGTGGTGCTGAGGATCCAACCCAGGCCGCACGCATGGCAGGCGAGCGCGCTACCACTTGAGCCACATCCCCAACCCCAGACTAGCCCCTTCTGCAGAAGCCTCCACACAATCCAAGGGATTGTCTCCTTTACATTCTAAAAGGTGAAGAGCAACCACGGATCTTTAAGAATGGTCCCCTAAGAATAGACACCTTTAGGTGGCACATGCCTATAATCCCAGCAGCTCGGTAGGCTGAGGTAGGAAAATGGCAAGTTCAAAGCCAGTTTCACAACTTAGTGAGACTCTGTCTCAAAATAAAAAATATAAAAAAGAGCTGGAACTGGGGCTCAGTGATTAAGCGTCACTGGGATCAATCCCTAGTACCAAAAAAAAAAAAAAAAAAAAAAAGAATGGTCACCTTCAGAGCAAGAAAGAGCAGACCGTGCTTGCTAGGCCTACAATCCTGTCCTTTATCAGAGGTGAAGGGAAGTGTATAGTCAGTGGAGTGGATACTGGGAAGTAGATACAGAATCTTGAGAACTCACTAAAAGATGATACATGCTGAGGAAGAACACTTCTGGTAGAACCTACTGGAAGCACCAAACTTTAACATGAACAGGGAAACTTACTAGGGTTGTACCCCATACAGGACATCACAGACATAGATAGCTGTGTACCCCCCCCCCAATAATAGCTGGGAACAGACCAGCCTTGCTGCAGGTCCCAGCCAGTTCCTGGCCTGTTGAGTAGAAAAGACCAGCTTTTGTCACAACTATGTCCCTGCTCCCAGGCCATGGGGTTCCCAAGGCTTCTCTCCTCTCACTCAAGCCCTGTTGCCTGTTTTTCCTCTAAAGAGTTTGGGAGTCAGGTGGTGGGAGATGTCCAGCACCTGCCTGTTAAGTCTACACCACTGGCTACCACTTGTTAGCAGACTTACTACAGTCATCCAGGTCTTTCCTGTCCCTCAGAGTAAAAGGTCTAAGGGCTACTTTCCTCCAGCTAGTGCTGGACCAACAACCCCCTGACCTCTTCTCACATCCTCTGGGAGGCACCTCATTCTCATTCCCAGTGCTAGGGTCTCCAGGAGCGAAGAAGGGCAGCACCTGAGTGGCAGAGGTAGTATCAGCTCCCGATCTTCAACTCTGTTCTTGAACCCTTCTCAGTAAGAACAAGCCTGTTTACTTACTAATATTTTGATGCTGGGGATTGAACCCAGGGACTCATGCATGCTTGCTACATACCCAGCCCAAAAAACAGGCTTAAAAGGAGCTTCTTCACCACACTGTCTAATTCCATTACAGCCTTACAAGCTACCCAGCCTTTTCCTTCAGGGAGGTGTTGGTTGCAGGCCACCCTCCGGGTTTCCCTTCTTCCTCCATAGCCTCTGCAGCCTGGAGGCAAGGGATGACTTTCTAGAGAGAAAAGTGGTCGGAAGAAAGGGGCTCAGACAACCCATCCATGTGCCAGTGAAGGTCTTCCTTCAGAAAAACTGACACTTGTTTAAAGACCTTCAGAAAAGATTAAATTAAAACAAGCTTCCAGGAACAAAGTGCTAGTGATCCCCAAGGAACCAGCCCACAAACCAAATCCAGGTTTGTGTGGAACAGGCTTCCAGGCAGAAACCTCTCTACGTCCTGGATACCTCTAGGGCAGATCTCTCATTCTGCCCACCTGAGGAGTAGCTGTTCAAGTCTCCCTCCTCACAGGGGCACACAGAGCCCAGTAGGAATAGAGGAAGGGCTGGCAGGGAGTTGGAGCGGTGGATGAAATACCTAGACGAAAGCAGCTAAGCAAAGCCCAAAGGAAGGACCAGGATGCAGGGTTAGCTGCAGGCCACTAGGCCCAGTGAAAAGGACACACACTTGGTCAGAGATGTGGCAGAGGCCCCTCTGGTCACAAGACCTGTGTCCTCTTCTACAAGGGAGGAACAGACCAAATGCAGAAGGCACCAACTTTCCCCAACCTTTCACACCAAAAGACATCCTTCATACTGAGCATTAAACACTCAGCTTCTCAGTTACTGTGGCTAAGAGGATGGGCTCCATAAATGCCAGTTTTTATTAGTGATGGAAAGGGTAAACACTGCTTTCAAAGACACCCATAGTCATTAAGTCCTCTTACCATTTAACTGTGAAGGACAACTACAGTCTTCTTCAAATCCCCGTCTTAGAATCACCAAGACTGGACTCTGGACTCAAGGGACCATCATGGAGAAGACAGTCCTTTCTCCAACAAGGATCCTGAAGCAGGAGAACACCGAGGCCAATCCCCACTCACAAAAATCCCATCAACCCCCAGGGAACAGTCTCCCCTCAAGGCCAACTCCAGCCTCTCATAAATCCCTACCCCATGAGAGCTGAACTTGGGGAGAGAACCCTACCAGAAAAATTGTTTCTGGGCAATTAAAACATCATACAGCGGTGTGCAATGGCGCATACTTCTATAATCCCAGGGCTCATAAGGCTGAGGCAGGAGGATGAGTTCAAAGCCAGTCTCAGCAAAACCAAGGCGCTAGAGCTGGGGTTGTGGCTCAGCAGCAGAGCCCTCACCTTGCATGTGTGAGGCCCTGGGTTCCATCCTCAGCACCACATAAAAATAAATAAATAAAATAAAGGTAATACTTAAAAAAAAAAAAAAAAGCGAGGTGCTAAGCAACTCAGTGAGACCCTGTCTCTAAATAAAATACAAAATAGGGCTGGGAATGTGGCTCAGTGGTCAAGTGCCTAAGTTCAATCCCCAGTACCCCTGTTCCCCCAAAAATCATCATACAAAGGAGATAAAAATGATTTCTGAATACTGATTTCTGGTACTGATCCTTTAGGATATCTGAAAGTTAGAATTTTATTTGGAAAAGAAAAACTGCCTCCACAGTCCACTTCATCAACGGTTAGAGTAGCAGGCTTGCTCCAGGCCCCTCCTCCTCGATGCTGGGAGTGAGCTTTCCTAGTGTCAGCTGGATGGAAAACACTACTTAAGAGAAGAGGGTGGGGAGAGGAGGGAAATCCAAACAGGGAAAAACAAGCCTCTTATAAGCCCTTCCCACATCCTTCCCCTGCTCCCAGTCCTCAGCAGCAACCCAAATACAGAATATTTGAGCTGAAGAAACCTTATTTTTAGATGGAAACCAGGGCCCAGAGGTCCAGTGAGCTGTTCATGGTCACTGTGCTTACCAGAAGCAGCCCCAGGGTCCTCAAGTGCCTGGCTACTGAGTCAGTGCTCTTTTGTAAGCCTTGATTGCTTGCCAGCAGCTTAGACCCCAGCGGAATAACTCTGAGGCACACCAGGAACAGGTATCTTCATAGCAAATTGCAAAAAGATGGGGTGGCAGGGGTGATGATGCTGTGGTTAGTCCTAAACAAAGCTGATTCAGTTATAAAAAGGTCAAAGGAAAGACTCAAGACTGCCAACTCCAATGCTGAGTGTGAGCAGCCTCGCGCCCCCTGGGGGGAGGGAGACAGACACTCTACCAGCCTAGACCACAGGTATTTATGAGCTGCAGCCTACGTTATATAGGAAGCTTATGGTTTTCCTGATATAAAGATACTGAATGTTCTTTTTAATTAGTTAATTTCTGTTCTTCTTCTGTAGTGCTGGGAATCAAACCCAGGGCTCTACTACTGAGCTATACACCCCTAGCTCCAGCCCAGACATCCTTTTAAGATAGGTAGCAATCATCCTCATGCCCAGATCTGATCTGGCTCCTCCAGGGAAGAGAGATCCATTGATGTGCTAAGATATCAGAATTTTAAGGGAAAAAGGAGAAAGTGATGAGGTCTTAGGACAAGACTCGGACAGTGTCCTCATCTGCTTAGAGCCCCAGTGCTTTCTTCTGCCCACAAGAAGGCAAAGGATATGGTGAAGAAGGAGACAGAGAACAAAACTGGGAGGGAATAAGAAGACAGAAGCCAGGGCCTGGACCCCTACGCCAGCTTGGGCCTGAAGTATGTATGTGGGTCACTGCTGGCCCAATGCCAAGGTTGCCAGGCAGAAATCTCAGGGTAATCACATACTGGGTGTGACCTCGGTGGGGGGGGGTTGTTTTTATTTTTGGGGGTGGGGGTATGTGCCTGGGTCCCACGCTTAGGCCTGGCATAGCAGGTTGCTCTCTCCCAGGGGGAAAGCCAGCCCTCTGAGTGGGGCCACTTGACGCGAGGTGGATGGAATGTGGCGACATGGCCAGCAGACCCAGGACTTATAAGGTGCTGAACAAGGGCACAGGGAAAGACGGCAAGCAGCATACAGCCAGAGGGTGCATATGAACCTAGACACACACTCCCCCAATGCCCGTGTGTCTAGGCTCATATGCACCCTTGCTTCCAGATCTTTTCCAGGCAGCCTCCACCTGGATGACACCTTGCCCCAGAGCTTACCATCAGCATCACAACCCAATCTGGTGTGAAATTCCCAGGCTCAAGGTCAGTTCTAGTGTTCTGCCTGCTCTACCGATTCCAGCCCCAGAGCACATGCCACCAGAGCTTGGCTTCAAGGCCAATCTGGGCCACACTTTATAGTTTCATTCTTTCACCTGAATCATAGGCATGTAAGCATGATGGTCTCTTTGATGTAACAGGTAAAACAGGTATGTGGCCCATTTTACAGGCAGAAAAAACAGCTCAGGGATTAAATGCCTGGCCAGTTGGTGATAGAGCTAGAGGTCAAGTCCAGTTTGCTTGGAAAGTTTAAGGCTCTTTGCTTATAGCCTACAACATATCCTAGAGTTCTTACAGGATGTGTAGGGTTGAAGGGAGCAGAGATTGGGGTAACCAAACTGGGGTGATGAATTCTCTAAGAGGAGGGACAGACTGGTCACATATAAAGTACTAAGTAAACCATGTGCAGTAGCACACTCCTATATTCCCAGTGACTCAGAAAGCTGAGTCAGGAGGATCCAACTTTGAGTCCAGTATCAGCAACTTAGCAAGACCTTGACTCAAAAATAAAAAGGGCTCAGTGGTGAAGTGCCCCTAGATTCAGTGCCGCAAATCAATCAACCAACCAACTAATACTAAGTAAGGGAGCCTCAGACCTCATTATCTAAGCTGCTCCTTGCCCCAGAAACAATAGGCTTCATAGTAGACACACACTAGGTCAAAGCCCACCAGGTGCACTGACCTACACCTCATTTAGAGATCTACAGCAAAGACACAGCAAGAACTAAGCTGTGCAGATTTCATACCACAAGAGGCTGCTCAGAGGTGGTACTAGGCCGGCTTTAAGTGTATCTCCAGTCAGAGCAGGAGGCCAGGACTTAGAAGCAAGACTTGCTGGACCCCCAGCAGGAGACCTCCCAGATCCATTTACCTCCCCATCCCTCTGGGCAGTGAGGTCTGCCAACACAGATCTATTATCACCTGCCTGAGTGCCTGGTGAGAGTCATACTTGCCACCACTGCCACACACCACTGCACAGAAGGGACTACATACAGGCTTACTGTGGTCCAAAATTAATACCACCAGCTCTTAAACCATAAGATGCCACGCCAGCGTGAGCACCAGCACCAGCACCACCACCCGTGCCCCATCACTTGACTAAATCTGACAAGAGTGATGATCCCCAACATGGTGCTCCTGTTGAGAGAAGGCTTCTGCTCAGGGACCAAAGTTGCTTCTGGACCTTTCTGATCAGAAGGTCCCCTAGCAAACACATCAGAGATCCCTCCATTCCAAGCTGTGCCATAACTACACATCTAAACCAGAACAATCTGGGCAGAAGGTGGAGGGTACATAGAATCTTCATAGCAATAAAAGTTCTCAAAAATAGTCTCAGGTTGCTGGGTGGGATGGGAGACCAAGGCAGAAGGATGTCAGGTTCATGGCCAGCCTGGCCAACTGACTCAAAACAAAGAACAAAAAAGGTCTGGAGATAAAGCTCAGTGGTAGCATGCCCCTGGGTTATCTCCAGAACCAAATACATATATACTCAGTCTCGGGGTCTTTCCAGTATCCTCTCCTGACTCCTCTTCTCCCCCGACTCCCAAATTAAAGCAAGGTCCATATGGGGGAAGGTTAACCAACCACAAAGAAGGGTTAAATGCTCCAGATACTGCTACCATGGCCTGGTCCAGGTCAAGCCCTGCTCCTTCTCCCTGGGGGACTAAGGCAGCCTCGACAGCTTGCAACAGTCAAGTGCCTCTACGCAGCTGACCGTGAGTGGCTAGCCCTGGCAGGTGGGCCTAGGCAAATGTTCCCATCCCCCAGGCCCTGCTGCAGTCCAGGACTCTGGCACCAATGGACCCACAGTGGATTCTTCTGCCTCAGAAAAGGCTGAGTCTCAACACATCTCAGAGGTGACATTTCTTCCAACCAAGGAAGAAGCAGAAAACAAGGAGGCTGTGCAGATCCCTGGAAGGCAATGGGAAGGGTTCTGGCATACAAAGCCTGAAGGGCTGTCCAGGTCCCACCCACCTTATGGCAGCATGGTTTCTGAAGTGTAAGTGTCAGGCTTTGCCCCACTGTTTGTCTCATAGCTTTGCCATGGTTAGGAGACAGTCAAGTGGCTGCTGCCCATAACCAATGGCAGAGTAGAGGCAAGTAGCAACCAAGCAGTGCCAGTCCCAGGACTATGAACTGAGTGACCAGAGGTGGGTAGCCTTGGACCAGCAGCTCAGCCCTCAGGGCAGGCAGGAGGAACTCATTTACCTCTCAGGACTGTCTAAGGCCCAATTGGATAAATGGTTTGAGAGCAAAGGGAAGATTCAGCATCTCAGTCCATGTTCTGCCCCTACTTGTGGGTTTCACCAGCACCACCCTCGAGAGGGAGGCAAAGAAAGCCACCATGTCCAAAAGTTGAAATGGGATTTAGAAGCTGGTTCTCTTGCTGGGTAAGGTAGTGCACGTGTGTAATCCCAGCAACTCAGGAGGCTGAGGCAGGAGGATTGCAAGTTCAAGGCCAGCCTCAATGACCTAATGAGACCCTGTCTCAAAATAAAACATAAAATGAGCTGGGGATGTAGCTCAGTGGTAAAGCACCCCTGCGTTCAACCCCCAGGACAAAAAAAAAAAACTAGCCAGGCTGCCCACATATGGGAAAGGAGGAGACAATGATCCAACCGTATGGCCTCCAGAATGACAATCACTTGAAAGTGAGTAACATTTCTTTAGAAGCCTAAAGCATCCTGTGGCAGTGAGGTGTGAAAGCAGTCAGTCTCAGGTACAGAGAAGGAGGGGTAGGCCATCTGTAGAGAATTTAAAATAAAATTGACTTGGTCTGTTTTTATTATCCTATGGGACGGTGGTTCTAAAGAATATCTGTGATAGAACGCTCCTCCTGGCAGGGGTGAACAGTTCTCATCACCCAGTCCTAGGGACACCACAGCCCAAAGGAAATAGCCTAAAATCAGTTTCTGGTCTTCTACTTGGGACTCAAGAAGTACCCAGAGGTCAGCCCTTAAAAATTTGGGTTGCAGACACCTCTCTGCCACCTTAAATCTCAGCAAAATCTAGTATGTGGTTAAGAGGTAATTTTGAACTCAAATCCCAACCTCCCCACTTCATAGCTCCATGAAACTTTTAACCTCTCTTGACATGTTTATATGAGATGATAGTAATGTAAGCACTCAGCCAGGCACAGTCCCATACTTTTCAATCCTAGCTACTCAGGAGGCTAAGGCAGGGGGGTCACAAGTTTGAGTCCAGGCTCTGCAACTTAGTGAGACAGGTCTTAAAATTTAAAATAAAATGGGATGGTGATATATAGCTCAGTGGTAGAGTACCCCTGGGTTCAATCTCCAGTACCACACATGTTAGTACTTCACAGTGCTGTTGTGAAGGTTCAGTAAGATAAAATAATAAAGAGTTTAGCACCATGTCTGCAGCAAACACTACATACAGGCTTACTATTATTAGTACATCCTCTCCGTTAGGTTATTTGAGCAGAGGGGAGGCACCTACAACACCCTCCAGAGAGGAAGGGAACTTGCCTTCCTACCTGAATCCTCCTGGATCCACCTGCCTGAGTCCTGTTTCTAGTTAGGGTAAGTGCTCAGGTAATCATAGAAGTCTCCCTTTCTTCATACTCAAAAAAGACTGCAGACAAAGCACAAAGATGTTCCAGGTTCTTTCAAATGCTTTCAACGTCAGAAAAGAAAAGGTACCCAAGTCACACACACTGGACCCTGGACTTCCTTCACACTCCTCTAGACAAACTCAGACCTTTTCCACCCCCACAGGTCTAACAACCTCCTACTCACCCATACCTCACTGACTTCTAACCTCTCAGCATTGCCAGGAACCTGGCTGTCTCCTGACATCCCTCTGAGGACATATGATGAACCCTAGGTAACAGTTACAGAAGGAACAGTCTTGATCCAGTTACACTAGGGTAAGAAGGTAGCAAACTTAAGTCAAATTATACACCCTTTAGCTGCCATTAACCCCTGCCTTTCTATAAACAGCTTACCATTAGGCTATTTTTTTTTGTAGTTGTAGATGGACAGAATGCCTTTTATTTTTTTATTTTTATGTGGTGCTGAGGATCGAACCCAGTGCCTCACACATGCTAGGCAAGCCTTCTGCCACTGAGCTACGACCCAGCCCCCAACTTTTTAATTCACCTCTTAGAAACTTATTTCCCCTCAACCCAAGAATCCAAATACCCACTACCCAGGGATGCCCCACCCCAACTAAAAATTGCCATAGGGGCTAGGGATATAGCTCAGTGGTAGAGCACATTTGTAAGGCCGAGTTGAATCCCTAGCACCAAAAAAAGGTGGCGGGGGAAGTAACCAATCCAAACTCACCAAGTTAAATGCAATAAATATAATAAATATATATTATAGCTTTTTTGGTGTATCAATCATACCTCAATAAAGGCTTGTTTTTCATGGCACTGGGTATAGAACCCAAGCCCTCACATGCCAAGTACTTTACCACTTATCTACATCCCCAGTCCTGGTAGTTTTTTTGTATTGTGGTACTGGGTATGAACCTGGTGCTTGCACATGCTAGGCACACACTCAGCCACTGAGCTACACCCTCAGCCCTCAATAGCATTGTTTTTAAAAATTATTATAACTTATTACTTTGTATTGTAAAAGATCTCCATTTACTCCTCTCCAGAGACACAGTAACTACCTAGCTATCCATGGAAAAATCACTTGGGACAGGACAGGCTTGGATATGGGATTCAGCAGCAGGGACATAAAGCCTGCCTCAAGCAGGATTCAGGTTCTGTGTCCAGCAAGACCCACCTGAGGGATGGTATAGGCTCAGATTGAAAAGGAAACTCATGGGGCTGGGGTTGTGGCTCAGTGGTGGAGTGCTTATCTAGCATGTGTGAGGTCCTGGGTTCTATCCTCAGCACCACACATAAACATATAAAGTAAAAGTCCATCTACAACTAAAAATATATTTAAAAAGAAAAAGAAAAGGAAACTCATCTCCTCTCTTTAGTTCCCTGTTGTCCTCTTTAGCGTTCAAAGGGTATCAAAGCTTTTAACACATAACACATCTCCTTCCCAAGTGTAAAGAAAATGTTTTTCTTCCTAACCCCACATGGTATCAGGCTCTTCATAATATGGACCACATTATTGCTGCAACACCGCAAATTCCTGGTAGTTACCTACAAAAGTCATGAGGTTCTACTATGCACTTACCCTACCTTTATACATGCCAGGCCCTCCTCTTAGAATGCCCTTTGCACCCCACTATGGCAGAAACAATCTACTCACCCCTAACTCAGAGAGGGCTGATCTCTAACCTCTCAGTGGTACCATGTTACCATGTGCTGACATTCCTTTATTCTAACATACCATCATTTCCTCCTGGCAGGTTCTCCTCACCTCCTAGCTTGCAACCTTTCACCTATATTCCAAACCCACAGTCCAGAAAAAGAACCTAATGCATGTGATACAGATGAAGACTACAGGTAAGATGGGCAAGGAGGAAAAGCCAAAGCCATAAAAAGCACTTTAAGACAAACAGCCTCAGAACCATGGAAACACACCCTTTCTCCAGTGACCCAGCACCTTTAGGAATTAAAGTCTTATGGTGGACAGTATTAGGATTCTTTGGTTTTCTATGCTTGCTCTAGCTAATCTCTAATAGTTGACTGGAAAGAGTCGGCTTAGGTCAGCTACAGCAGTTATCATCATTGCTAACAACATCTTCTGGATGATGGATCTTAGGGATTGCAGAACTGACTGCTAGGCAGTATCTAAGCTAAAGGAAAGAGATCAGTTCCAAGCCCAAGCGCACAAAAAAGATGGAGCCCCCAGCAAAGCTCTTGGCCCACTGTTTAGAAGCTGATGAGTGGAGCAGACTGACTCTTGTTCTTACCAGACCTGAATACACACTGGGCTTCCAAGAGGAAGGCTAACAGAGGAGGAGGTGGTTTCCAGGAGAGCTAATGGAGGCCCTTAGATTTAGACCTCAGCTAAATACATCAAGTCCATGTTCCTTAGCAAGTATCCTCTTACTGAATCTACCTTAGCACCCAAACAGGAATGTAGGGACCCCACTTTTTAAGGAGCCTGCCTTCTCTCCCAGAAAGGCAATTAGGAGAAAAAAAAAAAGTGAAATCTCAAATGCTTTTTTCAAGATTTACACTGTTTATTCTTCCCACCCAGAGCAGTGGGTCTGAGGATTGGGTGGTTAGCCTAGCCCAACTTTCAAGCAGTGTGAAATCCCTTAAGTCAACACTTTAGAGCAGTAATGGGGTTCAGGGTTCCTGCTCAGCTTCACAGTAGATACTGCCCTCCCAATTCTAGCCTGCAAGGGTATAAAGGCAAGCAAACACACCAGCAACCCTGTCACTCTTCCCCTAATCTCAGGGAAGGTTCTGAACAACCACATACCATGATGGTGCCCAAAGTGAAGGGTCTGTGGGCATCAAGGTCAAAGGATGACAAAGCCCAATGGAGTCAAAACAACCCACCATCCAAGAGCCATTACTGAACAGCCATCAGGCCTTCCCTCTTCACATTCTTAGTAAAGAGTTGTATATTCTTCTCTTGCTCCTCCCAGCAAAAGGTGGAATCCAGACAGACGTTCTCAAGATGTCACGCATTGGTGGACTGAGGCTGTCAGGAGGCCTCTGAATTGCTACGACAAGGAGCTGGCAGTGCGGGAGTTTGGCCCAGCAGTGAGTCTCAGAGCTATTCTGAATCAACCCCATAGTCCAATGGGAGGTGAAAGCAACCCTGAGCCACCCCGCCCCCACACTCTGCGGTTTCTCCCCCATACCAAAAGGAAGAGCGCTCAAGATGGATAACTGGCCCCTGGTTTCCTGGGCAAGAACATTCCAGGACCAGGCAGGAAGGGTCTTTCAGCCCTGGGTGACACAGCAGAGGCCCTTCGTAGGCGCTAAGAAGGCTGTCCCCTTTCCACACCAGTTCTCCTCTCTGCTGGCCACCCTCACATTTACTGAAAGCTTTAAGATTTTTATCCACCGCCTCACCCCCACACATCCACTTCACCATCCCATCAACCGACAAGCTGCTGGGGATTCCATGAAGCCATCTCATACTCCCTATTAGCACATGGCCAGTGGACAAGATGATGTCATCGCTTCTCGCAGGATCCCACCCAGGCCAGCTTTGGGGTCCTGGCTTGGCTACCAGTGCAAAATCGGAAAACCGGGAACTGAATGTATTTAGTCATCTCTTTCCCAACTCCAGTTAATTGCCGGCTCACCTATGCCAAAACCCAGGTTCAGGGGTTGTGAAGAAAGTCTGCCCGGTCCCATGACTACAACTCTAGTGAACCCAGGTGGGGGCGGCCGGCGCAGGCCTCCAAGGTCATGGGAAGGGATCAGGGTGGAAAGGGTAGGAAAGTGAGGGTGCCGCCCGCCCGCCGCTCCGCTTGTAGTTGAGACGAGGGTCCCGGCCACCTGGAAGGTGCTCCCCAGACTACGGCAGCAAGTCGGGCTGAGGGTGGGGTGCGAGGGACGTGCGGGCAGCAGGCGTGGGACCGACGCGGTGCAGCCAACCCACCGCTAGCCGCACGGACGACGCGCGGCCCTCCTCGAGCCCGGGAGGGCGGGGAGACAATGCCTGCCCCGCGAGGCAGTCCAGGCCGCACGCCCCCGCCCGCAGGACACGGGCTGCTCCTCCCCGGGCGAAGGGCAGCAGCGGGAAGGCGCCAGGAGCGATGGCCCGACCGACCCCGAGCGGCGCAGAAGGCCCCGCACGTCCTCTCCCGCGCCCACCTCCGCGTGCACTTCACCCAAGTCCCGGGGCCACAGACCCACCTCCTCCTCCAGGGTTGTGCCGGAGCCCGTGCCGGTGCCGGTGCTGTGCTCGCCGTCCGGCTTCAGGTTGCTCATGGTGAAGGGGGAAGGGGTGGCGAGGGAAGGGAACGC